TGCTGTGTGCTAAACTGTTAACGTAACATATGGACAGAATACTGTAATAAATGTTTTAAAATGGCATCTTCAAGACAGAGATCCAAAGTATCATGACCTTATAGAGTTATGTTTTGTAAATTAGCAAGCAGTTTCCTATTTACGCATCCAGCAGAAAAGGAGGAACATTTGCATTCGTTCAGATCTGTCCACTCGTTCAAAGGAAGTCAGTTACTGAATCTGTCAGGCGCTGGCTGGTCTCCTTTAACTGCTGAGGAAAATCCCTGGCTTACAGTTTAGAGGAATAAAATAATATTCACTGCAGGTAAGTGAGAAAACATGTTTTTTTTTCACAATGTTTCATTTTTAAAATGTAATTTGAAAGAAGGACCCCTTCATTTTCAGCTCTTCCAGTGACCCACAACTAACACAAACTTAACTGTAATGGCTCCTGGGGGTGGTATTCTGGAGGGAGGACCTGCTGGCTTCATTTTAAAACAATATATCTAAGCAGTAAGAGAACTGTGTCAACTCAGTTTTCCATCATTCATGCATTCCCATCAGAAGCATACTGAACAATTAGACCATACCTGTATATCAATACCTAGAATTATCTCTCCCAACAGTGTGATATAAAAAAGGCATGTTGTCAGGGAGGGTCCAGTGAAAACAAGGAGAAGAATGGCAGAGCTAATGCGGAGCTGGGCCTGCACAGAGTTGGGTTTCATTCTAATTGGGATCATACGCAGCATGTGCAGTTTTGGCACATAAGTTAGATTAATCAAGGACTCTTTAATCGTGGAGAAATTGTCCTGTGTGTGGCTGGGCGGCCTCTTAAGTCCCCCCAGACCCCCAACCTGGGCTCTGTCTTAGCATGGACCTTTTGACTCCACAAACACCCGCTCTCAAAAATTGGGGTCAACCTCCCATTGCTCACACCACAGCGCTATCATGCCACCACAAAGGCTCCCCCCTAATGATTAAATTGCATCGAGTTTGGATGTTCCAAATCTGCAGATTCCTGGCGGCTGACTCTTCCTCCTGATTGTAATTTATGTCGGAAGTCGTTGCTGTCCAACACTCGGCCGTTCAAAGCCCAGGAGAGAGAAGGAGCACGTGGACAAAGCCTGCCTCATCCCCCCTGCTGCAGCTTTAATCTGCACTGCGAGGCGGAGGCGACCCCACACAGTCACCTTGGTACAAACTGACAGCGGGAATAAATGCATTTCTAAAACGGCCTGGTGTTTGCCTTTTTTTTTATTGCTGGGACGCTTTTGCCAACCTCAGCTCTGTCGTTTAGGTTAACCTGTCATTATTCTGAGTTTGATTAAGCCTTGACGTCAATTTGACATTCGGAACAAGGGCTGATTAGCCATTTGCTCAGATGATGATGATGATGATGGTGGTGTGAGTGTGTGCGTGTGTGTGTGCGATGCAGATTTCCTTGTGGCCCTTTAGGTGAAATAGAACTGTTATACAGGACCACCAAGTAAAAGAAAAGTGCACTTTGGGAAAGAAAAAAATATTTTGCATAAATGTTAAGAGTCTGGATTTCATACTTTGTAGAAATCCGCCAGTGAAAATAAAGAGTTTATAAAGCCACAGAGGCATCAGCTGGAGAGAACGACTATATGGTTAGTTCACCCATGCAACAATTCAAAATTTATAGCCTTTTTATAGTAATGAAAAGTCAATACTCCGCTGGAGCTAAGGTTGAACCTCAGTGATAAAAGCAGATCTTATAATCTTAAAGACACTCTATAAGAAATTTGATTAAAATAAAAATAACAATAAGCAGACGTAAGGAAAAGCTTAAAGTAGGCCGACAGTGTGCGCAGGTTAAGACTTATGAAAGGTTCAAACACAGGTTGTGTGTCTGAGCCTGAACTGGGAGAGTCAGTCCTTTAATTTTCGAGTTTCAGACGCGTGTATAAGACACTCGGCCTTGGGAGGAAACGACCTCTTCACTCGTGCTTTGTTCTTTTGTTTACACGCAGCCGTGCGCGCTGACGTTCGCCACGTTATGACCCAACTGCTCATCGATCCCACACACCTTCAGCCTCAAGGACAACACCTTAACCTCAAAGCCACCAGGCCCCAAATACAGGGGAGAGTAAAAAGAATAGAAATAGACATGAACACAGCCTTAAACGTTTCAATCCTGTTGTTTCCAGTGTCTGGGCTGATTTTCACGCAGCAGAGACAACGGAGATTTAACAACGTGTGTATTCACCCCTAAGACTTTCTGATGTAAATCATATTTTCCACACTCTCATTTGAGCTTTAAATGTCAAATCTCTGATGCAATAATCTGTTTGGAGATTAAGGCCATTTAGAGTCATTTAGAAGATCATTTCCTGCTATTAAGACACAGGTGGTTTTCAAATCACCTGAGCCATCAGTATCTCTTCAGTGGGCATATTTAGTCACAATAAATATCTTTTATTATTTGTTTACAAAACTGGTTTGTTGCTTTATTGGTAAAATACGGGTGGAGAGATTTGAAAGTTGTGCAAAAGGGCGTCAAAATATTGGTCAAATCACCTGCAGCTTTATTTAATTTAATCTTTTTTAAACATATAGCCTTTGTTGTCTCATACTGGCTTCGGCGAAGTCATGGTAACCTTCGGTATTTTCGTGCGTACTGCGCCTACAGCAGCCATTTATTGGCTATGGACCTTTGACAGATTTCCGCACTTCGGCGTGCGTGTATGATACCAGAGGCCTCATTTATTTTAGGTTTTCTGGTAGAATATGTGATATTAAAATATGAACAGTCACCTCAGTACAGTAAGAAAACCCACAGCTGTGTCAAAAATTAATGGGGCGTTTTATAATTTAAAGAAAAGAATGGCAATAAGCCTATGTAATGAAACTGAGCTGCGGACCTGCCTCGGTATGAGACTATATGTGGCTTATTTTAGGCCAGTTTTCATATAGACTATGTCAAATTATTAGCCTGTTTTTGGTTGATCCAAAACCAGTATATATATAAAAAAACAACAACTAAGATCTTTATCTTGAGGCCGCGGGAGCAGCAAAGGAAACCGTATGAAACACTCCAGAATATTTCCTTTCTCTTCTATAACCGCAGGCCACCAGGCTGCAGTGATAAGCTCATGTCAGCAAGAGTGTCGGACTGTGGCAAAGCTGTTGTTGTTATTTACATGAAAGGAAAAGTGAACCAAAGCTCGAACAAGCCTGCTCTCTTAGGATCCCACGCACTCAGGAGTTTAGCTTACTTAATAATAGTGTTTGAGTAAGTAGGCCCGTAATATTGCTGCTGCACACCAGTCGGTTTGAAGTGACCTTATTTTTAATGGGAGCCTATTAAGTGCGCCCGCACTGACTTATGCTGTCATAGCCTACATTTTGTAGAAGGATAAAGGCTGGACTAGGATACAGGCTACAATGAGATGCTATTAAAATGTAACCCGAAAACGTAAAGGCTTAATAAAGAAAACATACCACATATTCTATAGCATAGAATATAATCTTTCCGTATGACAGACGCACTTTGGGGCGCTGGTACAAACTCCGAGCCACAAACCAAATCTTCCACTGATGTGTAACGAATAATGTGACGCAAAACAGCGTAGGATACTCCGCGTAGTGTTTTAGGAAGAAAAAGGTTCTCACTGTGCATCTGACTTTGGTCGGCCTCTGTTACAGCTTCAGTCTGCCCCCAGCCTTCAGTCCACACACACACTGGATCGCTGGATACGAGAAATGATGGGACGTCCTCAGCCAACAAGATGCGCTGGCTTGAATGTGACAGCCTTAAGCAAACTAAACACTGCGTCCTGGGGAAATACCCTGGCATGCACACTCACGTGGCCCTTCTCCCTGTTTGCTCTTTTAAAAGCATTCCAATGTAAATCAACATTTATTTTTTTTCAATCAGTGACTTAATATGAAGTTTTCAGTGAAACGGGGGCCTGCGTAAAAACCGCATTCTTACTGGATATTCCTTGTTCACCGAGTTTTTTTCTGAGTGCGACAATCCTCAGTACTGTTAAGAATCCTGTCTCTGATGTCTGTAAAATGAGATTCCTCCTGTCGAAACTCATCAAGCTCACGTTGAATGTCAAAAACATAAAACCACATTAACACAAATAACAATAATAAAATAAGATAAAAGTCGCATCTTTGCCCAGGGTAAACCGTAGCCAATTTAGAAACTGCGCTTTAAGAAAAGGTTCAAGAACGTGGTTCAGAAACAAAATTACAATTTCTGCAACAAACCCCACAAATAAATAGTCCACATTAAGACGAACAGAGGGTTTAGCATTAGTGCTGCAGCATTTACAGGGTGATTCTGTTTTTCAAACTACAAGCTTATATAATAACGCAACATGCCATGGCTGTCGATGTGAATAAGATAACGAAATGTATTGTTGTTAGATTAAAGCAAAGCTGTAGATATTCTCGTATATTAGCCATAATAACACTATACTCACTTGCATCAAACTGAATCTGGCTTTTAGCCCTTTATAAAAACTTAAACCTAATATCACCACACCTTGTTTTATTCATCTGCAGCAAACTGAAATGACCTTTAGTCACTGAGAGAAAGGAAAATAACTTTCCCAGTTTCTTTGCGCTACTTTTCATCAGTTCCCCAAAAGACTCATCACTTCATTTCTTTTATGTAAGAACTTAATGAACAGTAACTTGTACATACAGTG